CTACTACGACGAGCGAAGGGAGCCACAACCCTCCCCCTCAGATGTGGGCCTCCTACTTACCCACTTACTTACTACTACACACTTACTATACTATATACTATACTATATACTACTACTATACTACTATACTACATACACTACCACTACCACTACTACGACGGTCTACTACTACTACTAACTACGACGACTACTTACATCATTAGCACTACTTACTACTACTAGTTACTACTTAACTACTACTACCTATACTACTACACTACTACTTCGTACACTACTACTACGACTACATACTTTACTACTATGTTTACATAATGACTACTACTACTACTACGACTACTACTAGTACTACTACTACTACTACTACTACTACTACTACTACGACTGCTGCTACTAGTACTACTACTACTACTACTACTACTACTACTACTACTACGGCTACTACTTCTAGAGATCAAAGTAGGTGTGACTTTCAATACTAGCAGTTGCAACAGTTCCTTTAATAGTAAAAGAAGTTGCAGAAGTAGTAGCAGTAGTGGGTGGTAGTAGTCGTGGTAGTAGTAGTAGTAGTAGTAGTAGTAGTAGTAGACATCGTTGCAGAAGTGCGAGTACTCTTACCAGAAATACGAATATGAATAGCAATGGTATGACTAGCAGTACTAGTAATAATAAGATTAATAATAATAGCAGTTGTTGTAGTAGTAGCAATAGTACAATAATAATAATAATAATGGAACTCGTACTCGGACTGGTAGTAGTAGCACTACCAGAAGTGATAGCCGCAGTAGTAGCAGTAGCAACGCCAATAGCAGCAGCAGTAGTAGTACTACTCCGGAGTAGCAGCAGCAGCAGCAGCAGTAGTAGTAGTAGTAGTAGTAATACTGATAATAGTAATAGCAATGCTTGGTAATGGAAGAAGGAGATGAAGTTGTAGTTGTAACGATAATAGCGCTTGTAGTAGTAGTGCTATGAATACGTGTAGTCGTAGTAATCGTAGTAGTAGGATTAGTAATACGAGAACTAGCACGAGTAGTACGACTGGCAGTAGTAGTAGTGGTAGTGGAAGAAGTTGTAAAAACAAAAGTAACAGCAGTGATAGTAGTAGCAGTCGGAAGAAGAAGAAGAAGACAACGAAGAAGAAGAGTAGTAGCTGCATTCGTAATATTAATAACAATGAGAGTGGTCGTAGTACTAATTTAAAAGGGGAATCATCATAGTACTAATAGTAGTGGCAGTAGTCGTTTTAAAGTAGTAGTAATAACAAGTGGCACGTGTGCCATGGCTCTTGCACCAATTAGCCTGGCGAAGAACCCAACCATATGCAGTTGTCAGTACCGCAGCTGCGGGTTTCATCTTCAGTGGACTCCCCATCGGACCACGGAACGTGTGAGGGGTGTGCCGAGATGGGTGCCACTGGGGCATTCGGTGAAGCTCCCTATGGGGACATGAAACACGCGCGGGGCGTGCCGACATGGGTGGCGGAAGCGCATGTGAGGGCCGCTACTGGGGCCTCCATTGGAGCTCCCTATGGGTCCCCGAAACATGATGCTGCTGCGGTGGGGGTGCCGGGATGGGTGGCGGAGACGCATGTAAGCGCCGCTACTGGGGCCTTCGGTGGAGCTCCCTATGGGGCCACGAAACGCGTGAGGCGTGTACTGGGATGTGTGGCGGGGACGCATGTGAGCGCCGCCACTGGGGCCTTCGGTGGAGCTCCCTATGGGGCCACGAAACGTGTGAGGGGTGTGCCGAATTGGGTGCGGGTGGTGACGCATGCGGGCAGTGCCACTGGGGCCTTCGGTGGAGCTCCCTTTGGGGCCACGGAACCTGTTGTTGTGAGGGGCGTGCTGGGATGGGTGGCGGGGACGCATGTGAGGGCGGCCGCTGGGGCCTTCGGTGTAGCTCCCTATGGGGCCACGAAACGTGCGAGGGGTGTGCCGAAATGGGTGTGCGGGACGCATGCGGGCGGCAGCACTGGGGCCTTTCGGGTGAAGATCCCGCTGGGGCCACGAAACGCTGTGGGGGTGTATCTTTGTGTGCCGAATTGGGTGTGCGTGACGCATGCGGGCGGCAGCACTGGGGCCTTCGGTGGAGCTCCCTATGGGGCCACGAAGCGTGTGAGGGGTGTGCCGAAATGGGTGTGCGGGACGCATGCATCTTTGCCACTGGGGCCTTCGGTGGGCTCCCTATGGGGCCACGAAACGTGTGAGGGGTGTGCCGAATTGGGTGTGCGGGACGCATGCGGGCGGCAGCACTGGGGCCTTCGGTGGGGCTCCCTATGGGGCCACGAAATCGTGTGACAGTGGTGTGCCGAATGGGTGTGCGGGGACGCATGCGGGCGGCAGCACTGGGGCCTTCGGTGGAGCTCCCTATGGGGCCACGAAACGTGTGAGGGGTGTGCCGAAATGGGTGGTGGACGCATGCGGGCGCAGCACTGGGGGGTGTGAAACTGTGCCATGGGGTACGGGACTATATGGTGGAACGAAACGTGTGAGGGGTGTGCCGAAATGGGTGTGCGGGACGCATGCGGGCGGCAGCACTGGGGCCTTCGGTGGAGCTCCCTATGGGGCCACGAAGCGTGTGAGTGGTGTGCCGAATTGGGTGTGCGGGACGCATGCGGGCGGCAGCACTGGGGCCTTCGGCAGAGCTCCCTATGGGGCCACGAAACGTGTGAGGGGTGTGCCGAATTGGGTGTGCGGGACGCATGCGGGCGGCAGCACTGGGGCCTTCGGTGGATCTCCCTATGGGGCCACGAAACGTGTGAGGGGTGTGCCGAAATGGGCGTGCGGGACGAATGCGGGCGGCAGCACTGGGGCCTTCGGTGGGGCTCACTATGGGGCCACGAAACGTGTGAGGGGTGCGCCGTGAGCAGAGGCAACGAGGGAGAGGGGGGCGGAGGGAGGGGGCAGCGGGAGGAGGAGACGCGGGGCACCGTTTCTTCAAAACGAGAACCCAACAACACAGGTTGTTTGGGAAAAAGGAAGGGGGAGGAGGAGGAGGTGGCGGAGGAGGGGGGAAGAGGGGGCAAGACATCGCCCCTCGGGGCCCAGCAACGGGGCCAAAACCCCAGGTGGGGAGTCGCGACGCGGAATAAAGTGCTCGGAGCGGAGGGGGCACGGGGCGGAGGTCCCACTGGGGCGCTGGGGGCGCAGAGAGGAGGGGGGGGAGGTGGTGTGCGTCGTGACTCGAAATAAAATGGTCGGGGCGGAGGGGGCAGCGGGCGGGGCTTGGGGCAGAGGGCCACGGGGCGGGGGTCCAACTGGGGCGCTGGGGACGGGGGGGGGAGGTGGTGTGCGTCGCGACGCGGAATTAAATTGTCGGGGCGGAGGGGACACGAGGTGGAGCCCCCACTGGGGCGCTGGGGACGCGGGTAAGGAGGTGGGGGAGGTGGTGTGCGTCGCGACGCGGAATAAAACGTTTGTGGCGGAGGGGGCAGTGGCGGGGTCCCGCTGGGGCGCTGGGGGCGCGGGGGGCTCGGGGCAGAGAGCCACGGCGCGGGGGTCCCACTCTGGCGCTGGGGACGCGGGGGAGGGGGTGCGACGCGGAATAAAGCGTTCGTGGCGGAGGGGGCAGTGGGCGGGGCCCCCGCTGGGGCGCTGGGGACGCGGGGAGGCTCGGGGCAGAGAGCCACGGCGCGGGGGTCCCACTTCGGCGCAGGGGACGCGGGACGGGGGGGGGATGTGCGACGAGGAATGCGTTCGTGGACGAGGGGGCGGTGGGCGGGGCTCCCGCTGGGGCGCTGGGGCGGGGGAGCTCGGGGCAGAGAGCCACGGCGCAGGGGTCCCACTCTGGCGCTGGGGACGCTGGGAGGGGGGGGTGCGACGCGTAATAAAGTGGTCGGAGCTCTAGACACCCTGTGCAAGAGGATAATAAAAGTAATAACTATTAGTAGTTGTAGTCGCTGCAGCAACAGTAGTAATAATTCGCCGGCCCAACGGGCCAGAGGCGCGCTAAGATCTCCGGCAACTACTTAACAATATTTCTAGTTCGCGCGCGCGGGGCGGCCCCTGGGGGGCCCCGGACGAAAAGTACCCCGGTCGCTCCCCAGTCGATCCCTGGGCGATCCCCAGGGGGGAGGCTATTTTTCTCCACCCATCACAAGGATCGTGGCCTCCGAGGGGGGGGCTGCAATCGACTAGTTGCCCTCCCGCCCCAAGGGGCCCCCCAGAGCCCCCCAAGCGGCCCCAGGGGAGCCCAATGCGCCGCCAAGGAGCCCCAAGACGCTTCCAAGAAGCCCCCAAGAGGCCCCCAAGACGGCTCCAAGAGGCCCCGAATAGCGCTCCAGGGCCGGCGGAACGAGCGAAGCGATGAAATAATAATAATAATGATAATAATAATACTAATAATAATAATAATAATAATAATAATAATACTAATAATAATACTAAAGATAATAATGACATTAAAGATAATAATAATAATACGAATAATAATAATCATAATAATAATGATAATGATAATAATAATAATAATACTAATAATAATAATAATAATAGATGAAGTCGTCGTGGTAACAGTGTTGGTCCTCCCGCTTCCCGAATTAGGCGAACCCGAACTCCCGCGCACTCGAGCCTCACGCTTCCCCATTAGTGAGCGATCTCCGCTCCAGGAGGGGCTGCTGGCACCTCCCTTCGAGAGGCGACGGCACCTTTCCCCGCGGGCCCCGCGGGCCAAAGGTTGGCCCGAGACGGGCCCCCGACGAACGCAGCGCCAGCACGCCGACTCGGGCCGCGCCGCAACGCCGCCGCGCCGGCATCGACTCGGCATCATCGCCACGCCGCGCGCGCGGCGGCCCGGGCGGGCGCCGGCTCCGCGCACCAGCCGCCACCAAGAGAAATCGATCGCTCGCCCCTCCTCGTCATCCTCTTCTGTCTCTTCGACGACGACGACGACGACGACGACGACGACGACGACGACAACGACAACGACGACAACGACAAGAAAAAACAACAACGACGACGACGACCACGACGACCACGACGACCGCAACAACCACGACGGCCCGCCGGCGACGGTTGCCCTCGCGCCCATCAGCGCGCTGAGGCCGGTCACTGGCGGGCGCACGCCGGCGCCCGCCGGCTGGGCCGTCGGCAGCTCCGGCATCTTTACCTGTACCAGGGAGGGGAGCAAGGGGGAGGAAGAAGGTCCAATCTCTCTGCGTCGTGGGGGGGAGGCAGAGAGGAGATCACGGAGGGGCAGAGGGACGGGAAAGGAGAGGGGAAGGGGAGGGGAGAAGGAGACGGGAGAAGGGAATTTGTCAAAGAACGAGGGGCGGAAGGGGATCGGGCATGGGGAAGAGGGGGGGAAAGGAGGGGGAAGGAGAGGAGAGCGAGGAGGAGGCGGAAGGAAATGGGGGCGAGGAGGATGAGGAGGGCAAGGGCGAGGTCGGGGAGAAGGAAGAGGAGACACGGCCGACCAGTCGTGCAACTGACTTACAGGAGCACGGGCCCACCCATTAGAGAACTATGTCAGGACCCTACCCGTTTTAGGGTCTTTCCCAGCCCTCATGGCTGAGAAGATATATTTCTGCCTGGATCGGGTGGGCCCGTACCGGGAGGGGCCCACACAGGCCGTCGAGCTAATCCTACAATTCGCCACCTTCTTGATAGGAGCCGCAGGCGGCGCAGACCATGCACCTAACTGACTGGTCCACTAAGGGGTCGAACATCAGATTAAGGATCCGCGGCGCTAATATGATGCGAACTTGGCGTGATGATGGTAATGGTGATGGTGATGGTGATGATGATGATGATGGTTTCTTCCGCGCCTTCTGCTGGGCCTGCCTTGCTCTGCGAGGGCATTGCTCCCCTGCCTACGGATGATTATGATGATGATGGCGATGATGATGATGATGCTGATGATGATGATGATGTTGGCGCTGATGATGCCATGTGATGTCGGTGGTCATGATGACGATGGTCATGATGACGATGGTCATGATGTCGGTGGCCATGACGTCGCTGATTTGCTGATGATGTCCGTAGCCATGATGGCGACTACGATGGTGGTGATGACGACGACGAGTTGTTCCGCTCGCTCGCAAGAGCAGCCGCGACGCCGCGTTGGCCTCGCAAGACGCGCCAGAGGCAGCGGCACGCCAGAGGCAGTGACTCGGCCACGCCAGAGGCCTAGGCAAGGCAACAGCTGCCGCGGCGCCGCGTTGGCCTCAGAAGACGCGCCAGAGGCAGCGGCACGCCAGAGGCAGTGAATCGGCCACGCCAGAGGCCTAGGCAAGGTCTTCCCAAGGGTTGCTCTGGTCCTGGCCGCTTCCTGAGGCCACTCCCTGTTTGGGCGCTGTCCGTGGCGGGGCGGCTTCGCCCGTGGCGGGGCGCCCCCATGGCGGCGGGGCGCCGCGCCCCTCCTGCGCCACCCAGTTCGCCCATGCGATGAGCATGCCTTCGTTGCCTGCGTGCACGCGCCAAGCGAATTCATCGGAGTGTTTGTCAAGGAAGGCCTTCAGCCCCCCAGGCATCAAAAGCTTATTGAATGTGCCCCACGGGCGCTCGTCGCGCCAATGCACCTTCTTCCGGGAAATCCACGACGGATCGAACTCACCGCCGTGCGTTGTGAGAATGTCTTCGACGAGTTGAACCAAGCGCGCGTCAGCGCCATGCGCGTCGGCCTCCAAGCCCGCGCACTGGAGCCGCGCAGGGGCGTGCACTGGCAGCGCGCGCCCGCCAGAGGCAGGGTCGGCGGCGACGTGCTCGGGCAGATTGGCCACGAGCACGTCGGGCGTCACCTCCCAGTGCACCGCTCGGAGCACAACCTGGCCTGGGTTTTCGATGACGAGCGAAGCGACGGCTCGGAGGCAAGCGAGTTCCGACGCTTCGTCTTTCGTCTCGCTCTCCCCGATCGCAACGAGCCGGCGGCCATCTCCCGGCGCAAAGCTGTTCGGCAAAGTCAGGGTGCACCGCCAGCCCACGCCAGGGGCAGCGAATTCCTTGCAAGTGGTGGCGGCTCGGACCAAAGCGCCCCCGTACTTTTTAGGGCGCGTCGAGGCATGGTTATCCAGCACGGTGCGCCAGCTGATCTTCTTGTCGCTGGCGCGTTGCTCCAGCAGGTACGCTTCGACCGCCCCGACGCGCGCGGCCTCGAAGTTCGGCCGCGGCGCCGCCGTGGAGACCGCGCAACGCGCGACGCGCCAGAGGCAGCGTCTCCGCGCACGGCGGAATAAGGCGCAGCGAGTGCGCTAGTGGCGAAGCGAAGAACGCTGAGCAACAGGGGGTTCGAGCCGAAATGTGACGCAGGGTCTCCTTTGATTTTGCTAGGGTGCTGTTTAGTTGTCCTGCGGTCTCGCTTAGCTTTGGTAGGGTCCTGTTTTGTTGTTTTTTGTTTTGTCCTGGGGTCTCGTTTAGTGTTGGTAGGGTCCTCTTTCGTTTTCCTAGGGTCTCGTTAGTTTTGCTTGGGTCCTGTTTAGTTTTCCCAGGGTCTCGTTCAGTTGTTTTTTTCTAAGGTCCTCTTTACTTTTCCTAGGGTGTCGTTTAGTTTTGGTATGGTCCTGTTTAGTTTTCCTAGGGTCTCGTTTACTTGTGGTAGGGTCCTGTTTCGTTCTCCTAAGGTCTTGTTTAGTTTTGCTAAAGTCCTGTTTAGTTTTCCGAGGGTCTCGTTGAATGTTGGCAGGGTCTTATTTAGTTGTCCTATGGTCTCGCTTAGATGTGCTAGGGTCCTGTTTCGTTTTCCGAGGGCCTCGTTTAGTTTTGCGAGGGTCCTGCTTAGTTGTCCTAAGGTCTCGTTTAGTTGTGGCAGGGTCCTGCTTCGTTCTCCTATGGTCTCGTTTAGTTTCGCTAGGGTCCTGTTTAGTTGTCCTAAGGTTTAGTTTAGTTTTAGTAGGGTCCTGCTTAGTTGTCCTAGGGTCTCTTAGTGTTGGTAGGGTCCTGTTTAGTTGCCCTTGAGACTCGTTTAGTTTTGCTAAGGACCTGTTCAGTTGCCCTAAGGCCTCGCTTAGTTTTGCTTGGGTCCTGTTTAGTTGTCCTAGGGCCTCGTTTAGTTTTGGTAGGGCCCTGCTTACTTTGCCTAGGGTCTCGTTTAGTTGTGGTAGGTTATGTTGGCTTTTCCTGGGGTCTCGTTTACTGTTGCCAGGGTCCTGCTTAGTTTACCTAGGGTCTCGTTTACGTTTGGTAGGGTCCTGCTGAATTGTCCTAGGGTCCCGTTTAGTTTTGGCGGGGTCCTGCTTAGTTTTTCGAGGGTCTCGTTAAGTTGTGGTAGGGTCTTGTTGACTTGTCCTATGGTCTCGTTTAGTTTTGCTCGGGTCCTGCTGTGTTCCTAGGGCCTCGTTTAGTTTTGGTAGGGTCCGGTTTAGTTGTCCGTGGGTCTCGTTTAGTTTGGCAGGGTCCTGTTTAGGTTTCCTAGAGTCTCGTTTAGTTATGCTAAGGTCCTCTTTAGCTTTCCCACGGTATCGTTTCGTTGTGGTAGGGTCCTGCTGAATTTTCCTATGGTCTCGTTTAGGTTTGCTGGGGTCTTATTTAGTTTTCCTAGGGTCTCGTTTAGTGTTGCCAGGGTCCTGTTTAGTTGTTTTAGGGTCTCGTAGTTTTTGGCAGGGTCCTATGTAGTTGTCCTAGAGTCTCGTTTAGTTTTGGCAGGGTCCTCTTTAGTTTTCGCTGGGTCTCGTCGTTTAGTTTTGGTAGGGTCCTGTGTGGTTTTCCGATGGTCTCGTTTAGTTTTGGTAGGGTCACGTTTAGTTGTCCTAGGGTATCGTGTTTCGTTGTCCGAGGGTCGTGTAGTTTTGCTAGGGCACTGATTATTTGTCAGATGGGTATCGTTTACTTTTGCCAGGGTCCTGTGTAGTAGTCCTAGGGCCTCGTTTAGTGTTGCTAGGGTCATGTTTAGTTGTCCCATGGTCTCGCTTAGTTGCGCTAGGGTATGTTTTGTTGTTTCCCTCTCTCTCTCTCTCTCTCTCTCTCTCTCTCTCTCTCTCCCCCTAGGGTCTCGTCTAGTGGTAGTAGGGTCCTGATTGATTGTCCGAGGGTCCCGTTTAAATCTGCTAGGGTCCTGTTTAATTGTCCGAGGGTCTCGTTTAGTTTTGCTGGGGCCCTGTTTCGTTGTCCGAGGGTCTCGTTTGGTTTTGGCAGGGTTCTGTTTAATTGTCCTGGGGTCTGGTTTAGTTTTGCTAGGGTCGTGTTCAGTTGTCCGATGGTCTCGTTTAGTTTTGCTAGGGTCCTGTTTAATTGTCCTAAGGTCTCGTTCAGTTCTGGCAGGGTCGCGTTTAGTGTTCCGAGGGTCTCGTTTACGTTTGCTAGGGTCATGTTTAATTGTCCTGGGGTCTCGTTTAGTTTTGCTAAGGTCATGTTTACTTTCCTAGGGTCTCGTTTAGTTTTGCGAGGGTCCTGTTTAATTTGCCTAGGGTCTTGTAGTTTTTGGCAGGGTCATGTTTACTTGTTCCTGAGGTCTCGCTAGTTTTGGTCTAGGTGTCCTAAGGTCTCGTTCAGTTTTGGTAGGGTCCTGTTTAGTTGTCCTAGGGTATCGTTTAGTTTTGCTATGGTACTGTGTAGGTTGCCTAGGGTCTCGTTTAATTTTGCCAGGGTCCTGTTTAGTTATCCGAAGGTCCCGTTTAGTTTTGGTAGGGTCGTGCTTAGTTTTCCGGGGGTCTCGTTTAGTTGTTGGTAGGGTCCTGTTTAGTTGTCCCAGGGTCTTGTTTAGTGTTGCCAGGGTCCTGTTTAGTTTTCCCAAGGGCTCGTTTAGTTGTGGTAAGGTTCTGTTTTCCTAGGGTCTCGTTTAGTTTTGCTAGGGTCCTGTTGAGTTGTCCGATGGCCTCGTTTAGTTGTTGCCAGGGTCCTGTTGAGTTTTCCGCGGGTCTCTTTTAGTTGTGCGAGGGTCTTGTTTGGTTGTCCTAAGGTCTCGTTAAATTTTGGCAGGGTCCTGTTTACTTGTCCTAGGGTCTCGCTTAGTGTTGCTGGGGTCCTGTTTAGTTGTCCTAGGGTCTTGTGAAGTTTTGCTAGGGTCCTCTTTATTTGTCCTACGGCCTCGTTTAGCTTTGGCAAGGTCCTGTTTAGTTGTCCGATGGTCTCGTCTAGTTTGTGGTGGGGTCATGTTTAGTGTTCCTAGGGTCTCGTAGTTTTTGTTGGCAGGGTCCTGCTTAGTTTTCCTACGGCCTCGTTTCGCGCTGCGAGGGT